GATTGTTTAATAATGGAAACATTAAATAAGGGGAACTCCTTCTTGGTAATTAATTCCCATAGATCGGCACTAAATCTGTTATTCAGTCCCCCTGTGGATGAAAAAGGAGTTTCCAACATTCGTCCAAAGTCAAAATAGTATAATATTCATTTTGTAAAAAATAGTAATAAAAATTAAGGGTATGATGACTACGGGACCGACAACAAATTCAAAGTACAAAAATAGAAAACATTACAGAAAAAGTGTGTGGAGTTAGTTACTATCCAGCAATTTTTTCTGGTTGTATGGAAAAACAAAGGGCTGGAGTCACGTCACACATGATTTATTCAAAGTCACGTTTACTATATCTACTATTTGTTAAAGGGAAATGAAAGAACAAACTTTCAGAATGGTCTATTTTTATCGAACCAGTGAATACAGAAGAAAAAACGTTGCAGGTTTTTACTTCGTTAAATAATATTCCCTATGTTTTAAATATCTCAGACAAACAATATATTTTACGTGATGTAGAATTTGAAGGTATATTCAGAAACACCAAATGAGACATTTCATAGCTTATTGTCGACGAGACAATAATAAATGGGAAGAATATAACGGCTTGTCTAATAAGAGATCTCACTGTTAAGATACAAAAAAAGTTTGTGTTCCTTTACTATTTTACACCATTTAATCTTTTATTTTTTGTTGCGTTTATAAAAATTTGTTCGTTATTATTGTAAATATATTCTTAAAATTTACTGTAATAATGTAGCTGCCAAATATTAAAAGTAGATCAATTGACCTGATGCTTAAAGTTTTGGAAGAATATATTCATATTTATACAAATGTATTAGAGAATCTGCTTCTAAATCCTGTACTAGAAAGTCGTACGTTTTATCAAATTTGTTTAATCTCCGGCCAATTCGCAGAAACTAACATGTATATTTGTCAATAAGAACAATTGACGCCGGATTTTCAATTTCCACTAAAAGAATCTTATGTCGCAACGCATCGCAATATACCGCAGGACTCAAGTAGTACTTTTAATCTCGAAGGTAAAATTTACCTGAGGGATTAAGACCACTACTTCAGTCGCAAGGTATATACGATATTTTTCGTACTTCCGAAACTGAAACACTTAGTATGTATGGAGTTAGAGAACGCGTTCTTTCAAAAAATCGCTGCTTAACAAGTTGCCATAGGAACGTTGCGTTGGTACGACAATCTCTATGGTATGGTAACAAAAATAATTTGGAAACTTGTCATTGCTAGTGTCATAATTTTGGTGGTGGGTGACAAAAGTGTATTGGATATTGATAAAAAGCAGCCAAAGTAGGTAAAGAATTGAAATCCAAAAAACTATATGAGTAGCAGTACGATGCATTTAAGAAGTAGTGCCGCGTACAAAATGTGGAACAACCTACTGAAATTGCCTTGTTAGTAATTTCATCCTTCCGGGATTTTCGTCCAAATTTAATCCAGGTGGGACAAAAAGTGACACTTCAGTACTTGTCATAATGGAGTGAAGTTGTCACTTTAGTCTCGGAAGTACGAAAAATTCAAAAAAAAAAACTGACGCAATTTTGCAAAAATGTCGGCTATTTCAGCGCAGCCTGCGGCTGTATGGCGAACTGCGCGATCAGAGCCAGAATAGCGACCAGTGTTGCCAATCTTGAGGAAATTTCCTCAAATTTGAGGAAATTTTGAAGATTTGAGGAAACTAAAAATAATTTTGAGGAATTACATGCATGTTATACTTAGAGGAATTTTAGTCCTATAAGCTAGAGTACATCTGATACATTTAAAAATGTACATAAACATAAAATGTGTGTAGCTTCGTTTTATTATTTTTAATTTTCAGTTCAGCCGTGTGCCGAATGCCGATCCGGGAGTCGGGACCCGGGTTAGTAGTTACTAGTTAGTACAATTAGCCACAGCCACAGCCGAACGTTAACGGCTAACCTAACCTCTAAGTTTAACCAAAAACCTGTCGTGTTTTGGTTAATGCTAATGATTTGTTTTTTATTTAGCAAATAAATTATCATACGTAATACGTGCAATGACCTACTTATTGGAGTTTGTAAATAATTATTTTTACTAAAAATGTCACTTAGAATTATTGTAAGTGGATTTCAAAATTTACAGAATTTTGATACCCTACACTGTACTGAAATGGACCTGGACACTATACATATAGATCGAGATCCTTCTAATTCTCATGGAAGCGATACGGATTCTCGAGAGCATCTAATAGCGCAGAGAGAAAAAGTGTGCAATTAAAAAAAAACAACGAAATATCGTCGTAAACTCGTAAATACCAAGTAGGTAAGGTGTTATATTTGCGAGAATGAATGTCAAATCTCAGCTTATTTTGCTTGTTTACCACCTAGTATTCAAGAATATTTACAATAAACACTGTTGTATCTGTAAAACAATTTATTTTTTGGCCAATAGCATTAACAATTCATACATCTGTTACTGTTGGACATCACGTCATTTATTTTCTTCTTCTGTAATTCTGATCTCCTTCTCAACTTCTAATTTTTCTCGTTCCAATGTTGCTTTTTGTTGCTGCAGGTCATACTCGATTTCCATTTTCGCTCTTCAAGTTTTTTCACTTCAATGTCATAATCCTGCTCTTGTTTTCGTTTGATAAGCTCATCCTCAGGAAGCAGCGCACGACGCTTTTTTCTTACTGTTATGGGTCCTGGAGCTGTATGTTCTACAGTATGTTAATGGAATCTATACAATTTTATTCTTGCCATACTAGTTACTTGCTTACCTGTCTGATTTAAGAGTTCCATGTCTGCAGTGTGTTTTTCCACATTCGCTGCTGTGACCCGAGGTCTTGCTGTATTCAGTTGGGGTGTGGAAACTTCATTAGAATTGTCTGTTTCATCTTCATCTGCACTGCGGGAATCAGCATTTGTGGTTCGGGTTATAGGCACATTATTATTAAATTAAGAAAACGTTGATTGGTCATTTTAACTCAATGGTATGCGCACTTACCGTTTTTGCACAGCTACTGTTCTGTTGCAGAAACATAATTTCAGTGATGTAAACACAAACGTAACCTCACTTTTTCAAATACACCGACTCTCATAACCCAACCGTAAAGCTATGTTGGTTTATTCTCAAGGTTACACGTATCCACATGATAATACGTAAAATGGGAGAAGCCTAACGTAATGCTATAAGGATAAGTCATACGGATACGGATACACAGCTCTGTCCTAAGTGTCTAATACATCTTATGTACATTAATTTTTACGTACTTTTTGTGATCTTTACAGCATAAGTTTTTAAAGCGTAGCAAACGTCGTGCAATTAGGCGGGATACTTTGACAACGAATCACAACGTATTTATATAAAATATTGGCTTGCACAGTGTTGCCACTTTTTGTAGGTATGTACATTTACTTAAACATCAGTAACGGTTGCCACTTGAAATAGTATTGTACATTATTAGCCAGGTAAGTGAGTTTTTACTGGCGATAGGAGAAGTTGACTGGTGAGCCGTTAGGCGAGCCTGTCATCTCCTAGAGCCAGTAAAAACTATTACCTGGCGTATAATGTACAATATTTTATTTGTTACTCATTTGTAAACGTAAATAATTTAGTTCTTAAATTGATCTTGAAGAAATGTCTAAAATATCATGTGATCCATGTAACAGAGACTTCGCATTAATGGCCAATGAAATTACTAGATTACTAACTTGTAAAATTTTTACAGTCTGCTGTCAGTTTTACAAGTCTGCTGTCAGTTTTACAAGTCAGTAGCGTTTAAACATGACGTTTACCCGTTTGCGTTTTGTCTTGTTAATCAACGTTTACACTGAGTAACAAATAAACTTTTTATAAATAATATGAAACATAACGCAAATGGGAATGAAGAAAGTTTTGTTTCCTATTCCCTGCTTATTCCTAATCACTCCAATTTAACGATTCTTTCCTCCATCTCTTCTCAAAGTTGTTTTTCCCATACCCTTTTTCATTTAAAGACGAGCTTGTTAGATCTGTGGTGCCGAGAGAGTCACTGCACGTCATTTGTCGTTACAGCAAATCGTGTTGCTGGTGGTGTATCACGATGTAAGTGCTAGAGGTGGACAAATTGATAGAGCAGTATTTTTTGTCACTATTTGGATTTGGACATAATTTGGCCAAAAATTGGGCAAATTCTGACGAAATCAATCCAAAACGTTTAGAAATTTTGTCCTTCAAAAGTTGTAATTTTGAAAACGTTTTGAATAAAGTTATATATATATATCATATATATATATATATATATATTATATATATATATATATGTATATTATATATATAATATTATATATCGGTAGTCCTCGCGAGTGATTAATTTTTCAGGGTCCGGCATCATCGTGGAACTCGCCCCTCTCTCTCCAGGAGCTTAGCTCGGGAGGGGGGGGGGAGCCTGCTGAAATTCCTTTATTCCTTCCAGGGAGCAAAATTGTGGGACAGCGGGTAGGTAGGTCATATATGTCCCAGTGGGCAATTCACCTTTTTTCTCATCTATTTTGATTAATAGTTACCCAACGATCCTTCGAGTTCGAAAACATTTCTTTGGCTATTCTTTAATTCTACGTAAACATTAATAATAAAAGATTTACTAACACGTATCCGTATCCAATTTTGGTGCCGGATAATAAATTAGGTTATGTTTACAAATTACAATTTACTGCATGAAGTTAATCTTTTGCAGATGATTGTCCCTTAACATTTCCTTCCTGGAAATTAACCGTAAAAATTCGTTTATTGTGAACAAGCAAAGTAAGCTTACTGAAACGATAAGAATATGTCACGAGTGGCGATTAAATTCGTGACGGGTTCGGTAAAGGGGCCGATATTGGACAAGCTGTGTGAGCACGATTTTCGAGGAGACATTAACCTTAGAGGAGCATGGTGGAATTGGCCGTTATCGAAGGAAGCTAGTCTAGCAGCCAGCAGCAAAGAATAATCCTAACGATAGAGCAGCAGCCGTGGCCGTCAATTGGGTCAAAGGGCAAATCGGGAAAACACTTGAAAAGGCAAAACGAAATCAACCGAATAACCAGGGCAGGCAGTGCAATGATTGCGGTAAGATTCATTTTGAAAACCAAACTTGTAAACAGAAAAAGATTAAGTGTTTTAAATGCAATACAGTAGGGCATTACGCAAATAAATGCAGAAAAAACATTAAACAGGCAGGTAGCAATTACGTAGATACTACTAATTCAGATGTCGAGGTTGAGCAACTTCAGATTTTTAATATTAAGTCCAAGTCTAATGTAGATGAACCAATTAATGCGGCTGTAAAGGTTAATGGTAAGAATTTAGATATGCAGGTCGATAGTCTTACTGATGTAAGCTTAATTTCGAAAGATTTATTTACAAGTAAATTTGACGAGTGTCAATAATTACAAGCTAGCAAGATTGTTTTAAAATAATACACAGGTAAAACTACCGTACCCGTAGGTTTTTTTACTGCTAACTTGGAGTTCAACAATGTAGTTAGATGTTAGAGTGATAAATGTGCATGTTGTTGACGGCGGTGGACCACCATTATTGGGCAGGGTTCGCCGATATATATCCTTCGATATGTATCGGATATATGTATATCTATGATATGTATCACGATATTTAAAATGTTAAGAGTTGATATATATCAGACAGGAAATCAAATCCGCTTTCTTTGCGCAATCTGACACTAAATGAGTCACGCATCGTTGTGCGGTTCTGAGAACATAAATGATCTTTTGTTTTGACTACAGCAATGAGCAAACAGTGAATACCTCGCAGTCTTTGTTGTTGTTGTGTCACACACAGAAGACAGAACCTGTATTTTTTTCGGGTTTTTTTCTTTTTGTTTTTGTGAGTGAAACAGTAGTGATAAATCAGTTCAAATTCTCAGTACAATGTCAAAACGTATGTACCCCGTTTGGGACGACTTTGATTGCATTCAGAAACCTGGTAACAGTGGAAAATGGGCTCGATGTAAACATTGCAAAAAGGAGATGCAGGGTATACCAGAAAGACTCTGTAAACATATCGAGAAGTGTACAAAAAAAGCCATCTTTACAAAGAGAAGGTGATGAAACAGGTAATTTTTCGATTATAGTTTGTTGTGCCCAGTTTCAACATGAATTTATTTCCAATTCAAATTTCAGTTAAGAATTTTTCACAGGTAACCAACCAAACAGGCCTATCGTTGCTAATCACCCTCCGGCAAAGAAAATAAGTAAATCATCGGAACTGAAAGTTGCTGCAAATGCAGATGTGGTTGCAACATCTGCTGCCTATGCAAGAAAAATAAACTTGCAAATTGGTAGATATTTCTATGCAACAAACACCCCCTTCAATCACGCATGTCATGATGAATTTAAAACTATGTGTCAAATACTGAGATCGGGATTCAAACCACCAAGTGCCAGAAACTTCGGAGGAGAGATTTTGGAAGATGTTCATGCAACACTGCAGGAAAAATGCAAACAAGATCTACAGGGACAGGTCGTGTCAATGGTTTTGGATGGCTGGTCCAATATTCATAACGAACCCATTGTATGCTGCTCAGTGGTAACACAAAATGGAGAATCGGTCTTGGTGGAAACGGTGGATACGTCAGGAAATGCACATACAGCTGATTACTTGAAGGAAGTCGCGACAGAAAGCATCAAGAAAGCTGAGGAGAGATTTGGAGTCAAAGTAAGAAGTTTTGTGACCGACAACACCGGAAATGTCAAGAAAATGCGAAGCGAGATGGCTAAAGATAATGACGAAATCTTGCAGTACGGATGCTCGGCTCACCTCTTGAATTTGTTAGCTCATGATATACAGTGTACAGGATAATATTCTTAAAGTAATAAAATACTTTCGTAATAAGCATTTACCTGCAGCTTGGTACAAAGAAGCAAAGGGAAAGAAACTCATCATGCCCCTGGAGGTTAGGTGGAATACAGTCACTGACTCTATTAGATCGTATCTTGAGAATCGAGGAATTTTGGTTCAGGTGTGCCAGGATCATAAAGACTATATCGATAAAGATATTTTTCGAATTGTTAATGACATACACATAACAAATAATGCTGGGGATTTCATGCGTAGAATGATTTTCCGATTGCTGTGGCGTTAGCCCGTGGTCTTCCACTTTCTACTATATTATTCGAATATATTTTTTGCAGTCCGGTTTCTACAGCAACAGGTGAGCGAAGTTTCAGTAGATTGAAATGTATCGAGAATTCTCTACGTACTACTATGGCGGGTGATCGTTTGAGTAGTCTCGTTCTCCTAAATTGTGAAAAGGACTTGTTGGCTATGAGAGAATACGACGGTTTAGTTACCACATGGAGCGCCTTGAAGGAACGGAGAGTGGTTACAATTATTGGACAAAAATATATTTTATTTTTTTTATTTGTTTCAAAATTTTTTTTAGTTTTCATTATTATTAATCTTATTACGTTATTATACATATTCTTAATTTCTTATTACGAGTTACGACTGAGTATGTTATTCTTTTTCCTTTAATAAATTTTATTCTCGATTTTAGTCTGCAAAATTTAGTCTCTATACCCCTCCCCACTCGAGTACCACTAGGTACGGCCCTGAGGGCACCTAAGCAGTTATCAAATTTATATTTAATGTTATCGTAGAAAACGTAATATGAATTAATATTAGTATTACATCACCAACTGCTACGATTATAAGCTGCATATCTTAAAATTTTTAAAATCCTGTCTTCTAATTTTTTTAAATTTCGATAAGCCAGCTTACAACAGCATCCACAATTATTTTTTGAGCAGTATCATTCAGTTTATTTGTGGTGTCAAAAGTTTGAAAAACGTAACTTCCTGTATGGAATCCTTTAATAACGTTTAACAAGTCCTGAAAAGAGTGATCAATTAGAAGCTTCTTAAATAATAGCCACATGATGTTCTAAGCATACAAAAGAACAACTGCTTGTAGTTTCTTCAGACAACAAATATGAGTTGCAAGTGCTAGCAATTGATAAATCGAAGCCGCATTTCCCTTTTCATTCAGCAACCATAAAGGCCCAGTATTTGTAACATCTGAACTGTTAGGAGCTACCTGCTATAAAAACAAAGCTTACATGAAAATACAAAATACATTCAAAATCAAAATTTTCCTAAGTAATTACAAACAAATTCCGAGCCATGCACCGATTCGTCTTCATATGAACATATGAAACACCCCAAAAAAATAAAAAAAATGCAACAAAATCAAAATCACAGAACTAATTAGCAAGTAATTCGCAAAAAATCCACCTAATCACATTTTGATTGTAAATTGGTGCTTCGCTAAGTTCATGCAGACATATTTTTGCGAGATGATAGGGAATGCTTTTGAATAAACGCCCCCTTTAATATTAAAAAAATATTTACCTCCAAATAAATTTCTTGAGCTGCAACACAAAGAATGTAAAATAGTATTGAGGAAGTTTTTTCTGAACTAATAGTAATAGGTATTATGGAAAAGGACTGTCAAAACATATATTGATATTTCATGCAGAAACGCATATAGTAGGATAGGTAATATGAAACTACATGGAGTTTAACTTTACAGCGTTTCTGATTAGTCTACTATTTTCAATGTTAAAAGGAATTGCGTTAACAGGAAAGTGCCAAGATTTCTTGATAAAAGTACCTACCTAAATGTTAACACACCAATTGTATTGTGTAATCTAACTATAAGTTATTACAACATACGAAAATAATAAAACTACCATGATAAAATGTAAGGAATTTGAATTGATTGAATCTACAATTGTAAATCATTAAAATGAAATCGAGTTTAGTTGAAATTTACCATTGGTAGGCAACAATTTAATTTGGTCGATTTAATCATTACCTTTTCTCTGAGTATAGGTACTGCTTCTTTCAATCTTCAAATCTCAATTAATGTTGTCCGTCACCGTAAAGAACCATTATTAGGGTGGTTACTCGAGTATATATCGTGCCTGCATGTCTTTACTATCATCTGTCAACCTTTGGCTTAATAACGTTGTGTTACATTTTCAGTGAGCACATTAAACAACGGTGGACAATTAGTTCTCCAATAAACGCCATTACAGATAGTACCACAGCAAAAAAAAAACCACAAGTGCTCAAAAGGTAATGCTACCATATTTCCTGCGGTAGATCCCTTTTTTAGAGTCTACGTAAAATTTGTGATCTCATTTTATCGTGCAACCTGAATCGAGGGTGGTAAAATGTGATTATCAATATCGCAGTATGCAATCATAAACTTACTGGGTTATTTTATAAAATATCGTTACGATACGATGCGTAGGGGAACGATAACCGTTCAGTGCCTGAACGATGATGCTCGGAACGATATCGCTAAACAATCGTATTTTGTAACTCCTTCCGTTACGAGTTGACATTGAACGCTTGCCCGAACGAGCAGCTTTGTATTTATGAATGAATAGTAACACTTGCTGCAAACTTCATGTTGTTCTTGCCACCGGTTTGACAGTTCAACTGCTGACATTTCACGTGTGTTTGTTGTGATTCAGTGTTGTTAGCCATTCACCACGTGCTGCCGTATTCAAAAAAGTTACAAAATGAGTACACAGATTACGTCCAAAAAGGCCCGCTCGTCGAAAATAACTGCTGGACAATATTCGCTGTATTTAGAAGAACTGCAAGCGAATGAATCGTTTCGAACTAATAAGTTCAAGAACCCCAGCATCTTGGATGAAACGTGGAATTCGCTTGCAGTGAAGCTAAATGCTGCAGGTGGACCCATTAAAACGGTCCCCCAGTGGAAAGAAGTGAGTTATTTCTCCATTGTTTGTTATATTATACTTATTGTACACATTTTCAGAGATTTGCGGACTGGAAGTGTAACGTCAGGAAGAAAGCCCGAAAGCTTGAACTTTCGAGGGTTCGAACTGGCGGAGGACCACCTGATGTTCCACTTTCAGATCTGGAGAATCGACTGCTGAATCTGAGCGGTAGGGCTGTCGTTAATGGCATTGAAGGGATTCGGGAACTTGGCTATGGTGAGTTTTGAGATAAGTAGGTACAGATCATTATTTTTAACTAAACATCAATTGTAAGGAATCCAACTATGATACTTTTTATAATCATTTTAGGAAGCAATGATGAAAACTATTTTCCTGAAGTTCCGTGAGATGTCGCCACCTACCTTTCCGATCGTATCAAATACCACTTCCCGTTAATCCCTTCCCGATTACCATTTCCAAATATTCCCCAAACGTAACCGGCCGTTGAATATAAAAGCGAGTGTCCCGTCTGTGAGAGAACTAATTGAGATCACCTTCCTATAGCTCAAAACCTTCTACCAGAACCACCCTCCAGATCTCCTGCTCTCCCTGAAGCTTAGGCCGGTGCTTTGTACCAAAGGCCTAAATTTCGAACCCTGTTATCTCTTACCTGATCCAGAAGCTTAGGCCGGTGCTTTGCACCTACGGTCTAACTCCCGATAACTACTTCCCGAAGCTCACGGCTGGTACTGTGTACCTGGTCAACTTTCACACCTGTTATTCTAAACCTTCCCCGAACTCTTGGTAACTTAGGGCGGTACTTTGTACCTAAGTCCTGAAAACCATCCTGTTTAATAATAATCCACATCCAGATACTTTTGTTGAGTTAATTAAAGAACCCCTTTTCATTTTATTACGTCCAGTCAATTTTGTTTAGAACCCGTTTCATTTTTTTTTTGGAATTCTGTCTAGGTAGAATTCCCCATAGTATTACATTAAATAATAATCAACAAGGTCACTCACCTATTGTTTAAACAATCACTTAATTACTCTGAATTTATTTGTGTTAATTATACTTCCGATTGTTAAAGGAATATAACAAACCTAAGAGGAAACACACCGTGTCCAGCATCCACTGGAAGTGTCGCACTGACCGTTCCACTTCAGTCCGAGCCAGTGACGTGCGGAGGCAGTCCACAGAGGCGTGCTTTTGTGTACATTATTTTAATTTTATTTTGTTTTATTATTGGAAACAATATATGTATTAAGCGATCTCCGCTTTCAACTGGTTTTACTACCGAACCCTGCTGCGAATTGAGCTACCCGAACCAGCACTTGTGAACTCTCAATTTTCCACCCCGATTCCAGTAGCCGTGGAAAATTGGGAGCATTATACAATATTGCTACAGATAATCCCATTGAAGCACATGGGGCAGTCCAGCCACCTCCAGCAGTCCAGCCACCTCCAACAGTCGAACCACCTCCAGCAGTCGAGCCACCTCCAGCAGTCCAGCCACCTCCAGCAGTCAAGCCACCTCCTGCAGTCTATCCACCTGCAGCAGTTCGGGCACCAGCTACGAAGAAGAAGTTGACTCTGGCGGCATCTGTACGAACTTTAATGGACGATGCCACCAGAGATTAAAAAAAAACAACGCTTGAAGAAGTAAACGAGAGTTTAAAGCAACTTGTTGAACTTGAGCAGGAGAAGGTCAAGGTGAAGAAGGAGAAGCTGGCCATTGAGAGGATGAAACTTCAAATGAAGTACCCCGACACAGAATTTGTGTTTGATACTAATTGTGATTAGTAAATGTATAAATTGTACCTATATATGTATTAAAGTTTTCTTTTTGTATATATTGTTTATTAGACATTGTTGAAGCATTGTAGTTGCAGTTTCGTTAACGATTTGCAAATTATCTGACTTTTGTGAAGGAAGTTAGGTATTTGATAAGTTCTATTTATTTTGTTAGTTGCAATAAACGTATAATTTATCTAAAGTGCTGCATTATCACTTGATTCCTTATTCGTCGTCCTTGCTGTAGCAAATTTTCTTCATTTTCAATTATGGGATGTTGTTGAGGTTGATCATCATACACTAAAAATTAAATTAATAAATAATACATTTTTGTGAGTTGCATGCTTGCCTATCTGAATATTGTCATATACAATATTCCTCATCCGCAAAATATTATGTAATATCGCACAAGCATACACAATTTTGGCAGCAGTAGGTGGAGTATAATGAAGCACACGATCTTTAAGTAAACACCTAAAATATGCCTTCAAAACCCCAATACACCTTTCAACAGAATTTCTGACTGTTTTGTGTGCTGTCGTATACCGACCTTCTGGGGTTTGTGGATTTGCTCCTTCAATAGGTGTGAGAAGAAATGGTTCCAATGGGTAGCCCGAATCACCTAATTAATGTTTTGTTTTTTCAAGTGATGGATATATTATTGTTTAAATAGGTATATTTACCGAGGAGCCATGATGATCTGTCCCCATTTTCATAAGCGTCTCTCATAATTTGCTTCACACCACTCATCATCCATATCGCGGAATCGTGGACAGAGCCAGGGAATCTGGCATTGATGGACATAATGTTCAAATCAGAATCACAAATCTGTGGATAAAATTTATGTCATCGTTTTAAATCAACTATTACCATTACTGTTAATTATTTAATTATTATATTTACAATTTGACAATTCAAGGAATGTCTATGATTTCTATTGATAAAAATTCGACCAGGATATGCATCATGCACTGCTGGAGGTGGAACAATCAATATATGGGTTCCGTCAATACATCCCACTATTCCTGGGAAGCCAAACTTTTCAAAAAACCTTAAAATTATTACATCAGAATTCAGATGGTTAATAAAAATGATTTCTATCTGGAATAGGCTGGGGAAAAAAAGAACTGACCATATTGCATAACTGTTTAAGTTATTCCCTACCCTCTTTTAACTCTGGTTACGTCTGCCATATTTCTAGGAAATCGTATGTAATTTGCAGCTGCATGTTCCAATAAAGTGTTTATAATCTGATTGATACTTTTGCTCATTCACTTTGTGAAACACTGCAGTGCTGATCTTTGCCTACAGATTTCTGGTAGCTGCCTTGTGCAAAGAAATGTAGGGCTGTTATAAACTGGAGAGTTTTAAAAATTGAAAATATTTAACTTGTGGTTAATATAGGTAATTCACATTCATACCCGAACAACTGATGGAATTTTTGTAACTCTTCTACCCTGGTCCATGTGTGGTAACAATTCCAAATACAGATCCCTTGCAGCCTCTTTACTTAACCTATACATTTTTCTGAAATTTTCTTCAGGAATAAAGAAAGGATCATTTGTGTCCCTCAAATACTTGCACATATTTCGACCTCGTTCTCTGCAAAATTAAAACAAATAATTTTGCAATAATAGTAGGTAGCAATAAACTAGGGTGAGGTTAGGGCTAGCACCTACATAAAAACTCCACCTACCTTCGTTCTAGCTCTGCTAAAATTTCTAACAAGTTGTTATTCCTATCCATCACTAATTATTATTTTACAATACACGATTAATTAATTATTAATAATTATTGTGACAGTGATATAAAATGCGTCGTCAGTTTTTAAAGATCTACCGTTTGTCCCTATTTCGATCGGCAACGAGTGCTCTGAGCGGTACCGTTCATGAACGATCAAATCGTAACAACTTGATCGCTTTGTAACGATCTCGCTTAGTTACAAAATCGGTTTTCGCTGACAGATCGTTGGCGGAACGAGAATCGAATTGTAACGATATCGCTACGAGATATAAAATAGGCCTGTTAATGCCTGTCAGTTTAATATTTTCAATGAAATAGCGATAGAGAGATTTGAACTGCGTACCAGCGACACGAGGATTGCGAGATTGTCATGGACGTGGTCTTAATTGTATTTTTCTGTATATGGCACTATAGCCTCTAGCAGGTCCTTTCAATTGTGAATAGATTTTCTTATTGGAGGTGACATAATCAAACGTATTAAGTTTGAGACGACGTACTTAACGCCGTTTGTATGTGCACACTGTATATAATGTAGCACATGATTACGAATCATTTTGAAGATTTTGTAATGGTACTGCTGCGATTCCAAAAATTTTTACTCAAGCTTGTTTTGAATTTGTCGAAAATGTACCAAGCTAAAGTAAATAATGCAAAAACCACCGAAACTAATATACAAACTTTCTTATCAAAGTTAACTGCCAAAATTTCCAATGACGAAATTGCTTTTCTGTGTGGAACAGTCCACAATATGATGTCCCGTGTGCAAATTTCCGTTCCCTATACAAGATGGTCATCGGTGGCACAAACTCGTATAGGATATGGAAGCAGTGAATGTATTTACATATCCTATCCGATTTCGTGATCGTCATCAATAATGTGTAATATGAACATTGCACTATCCTCATTTGCATTTTCAAAACATTGGAACCAAGTAATAAAAGGCATTTTGGATACAGAAAAAAAATAATGAAAAGTATGAAATATTTTACGATTTTTTTGGATCTTGGTAATTCCGTTGGACAATCCAGTTTGATTTTGTAACTTTTGAATTGTCTTTGATCATAACTGCATCTTCTTCGCAAAATTCAGGTCTAAATTTTGTTCGCAGTTCTACATTTTTCTTTGCGTCTTTTTCACATTCTTTTATAACTTGACACTGTTTATCAAATATATGCTACCATGTATGTACCATTTGCGTCCTCACACATGGCAAATAAAAATGACTAATCCGAAAGTAGGTACTAGCAAAGCACACAGCACAGACGAACCAACTTAATTCAGTGAACACTAGCCATCAGTAGAAGGACAAGTGCAAATGGCGTGATTGCAAGATTCATAATGGATTGCAGTTATCGAATATTGCGCTAGCAAATCACGAAATCGGATAGGATATGTAAAAACATTCACTGCTTCCATATCCTATACGAGTTCGTGCAACCGATCACCATCTTGTATAGGGAACGGAAATTTGCAACCGTGTACAGTCGTGACTCCCACGAATACTCCCAAGCAAATTTGCTGTCAATGTAAGAAATTCCACTAGAAATCAAATATAAATTTTGTGGAAGGTTTTTTTTGGTATATTTTCCTTCAGTGATTGGCCGGAGGGTCGATAGTAAAGACCGGGTGGTCCAATAACTAAATTTAAGATAAAAGAATTCCACCTCATACTAAATTACAATTTAAAAATGGAAAGTTAAAAAAACCGGGCATGGTTCGTACCAATTTTAACCAAAGACGAATAAGTTACTTTGGCAGAATGATTTTTCGAATACCATAGAAAAGGATTTCCGAAAAGAAAGACAGAAGTGTTATGGGAAATTTCGTTGATACGAAGCCAATGTCAAACCCATTTATGGATAATTGTCCAGGGAACACGGTGGTATAAGTCGAAATTCAACATCGAGACGCCAATAAAATACGGGATAACATTTGTAGAAGTTTAGTTAGAAAAACCAATAATTAATTGAAGGGGTGAGTGGATGAAAGAGGTATGTAACAGAAAGTGAGTTTTGAGATATTTTACCTCAAAGTATATTTCACCTTCGTTGAAAGGTCAAAACGGGTTATGAACATGCAATTGAAAATTCGGTCACATAGTTATTCAAAACGATATACTTTTCTTTTTCTACATATTAATTTTTGTATGTTTTTTGAAACCAAATATGTCCCATATTAAGTTGTTTCATTGCCTTCTTGCAGCTCATAGAACCACTTATGTTCTGGAACGAAACGAAGTTGCTCTCTCAAGTTTTCAATTTTCTCTGCTGATAATGAGCCAGTTTTTGTAGAGTCTGGGAATTTCAAAATCTTCGGAAAGACAGGAGGGCTTTTCCACATTTTTTTGGATGTCGGCTTTCTTGAAGGGAGTGTAATAATCAAAACTCTCTTTGAAGAGGTATGACCCATACGTATCTACACGGATCCACTTAATCCCGTCTCGAAAATGTACTTTTTCATTTAGAATGTCTTTTTTTCTGTTCATCAGTTGCATTTTGTTCGGTAAATTCTCACTATTTTTAAAATGATGTTGCATATCAATAACCAGACTATTCTTCTTACTGGCAAAGGCGATAATTTGACGGTATTCTTGTGGTGTACAAATAGTTTGGTGTTTCCTCAATCTTTTCTGTATGCGACCAAAATCTTGGCCTCAATCTAAGTATGTGTGGCCCACTTCAGGAAACTTATGACCGATTATTTTGAATAGTCCCCTTGTCGCAAGATACTGATAAACACACAGCATAAGAAAGTTTTTATTCTGGCCTGCACAAGAATCTGTCCATATTATCAAATGATTTATTTGTTTAAGTGTCAGTTCAACTTCAATTGTTCTTAAGAGACAACTGGCGATCTCGCTACTACCTTTGCAAGCTTGGCGTAGGTAAAATGCTTTGGACGTACTCAGTTTAGGCAAAGGCATTGTTTGTTGAAGGTCAAATGTTGTATATGCAACGGTCATTGGTGTTTTTGGCTAGCCCCTTATCGGCATCCTGAGCTGCAAAAGCTAATCTTTTGTTGCGTGTTCTTCATCTGCAGCACCAGAATCGCAAGTGCTACATGTGTCACTTTTCGGATGTCCGAACGATAAATTAAATTCATTATTGAAGATATTGCGGTACGTGCACTCTTTAATTTTGAAACGACTGTGAACTTGATCAGCATTGCATTTCTCAATATAGAGTTTATGCATAATAGGAAGTGATAATATGGGAGACAGATATTTTTTATGGATATTGCAGTTTCTTGAATAATGCGATGATTCGGAAGGAAAACTTGAAATATGCTCAATTATGTAAGCCACAACATCGTTACCAATTTTGTTGGGTCTATTGTTATGTTTACCTCTTTTGTCTGGTAAAGGAGCAGATAAACCCATCTGTATTTGCTTCTAGATTAATCAAAATTTCGTTGCCTCTTTCTACTTACTTTAATTTTTGGTTCAAAATGTTTCTTTTTGTGCTGTATGCAAAATATGCTGTTCTACATTCTGGTTAACATTATCTTCATTAGATATTGCTTGTGGTATCGGTATGTTGTCATCCTTCATTTCTTCTATTATATGGTTCTGCCCTTCCATCAATGCGTCATCACTCGTTGTATCCATTATTAATCTCTGTCCTCATTGCTTTGTGACAATACTTTTTTCTTTCTTTGCAGCCGATATCTTTGGGTTTATTTTTTTTCTGTTGGCCTTCCCGGACTGATCAGGTGTTGGGAGTGCGTGATGTGGAAGGCGTGGATGATGATGGTGTCACCTCATACATTTCTTCCTCAGAATCACTAATACATTCCCCATCTGCAACATTATCACCTTCATCCTCAGCGTCTACATTACTGATCTGCATAATAGATATTTGGCCCAGTCAATCAAGGTTAAATAAAATAAAAAATTGGTCAAAAATACTCTTTGAGCCTTCCTCTTGAACATACCAAAACCTCATATGTGGGGGGTGCGGTTTTTCTATTTTTATTTAGCGATTTTGGTAGTAGACTGATTGGGTTAACTAGGATATGTAAGTATAATAGGTGGGTACAATTTTGATTGCAGATTTTTAGCAACAGGAAATACATTTAGAACCACAGCGATGAGCTATCGGCTTGGAGAGGCAACGGTACGAGAAATTGTGCATCATACTTGTGATGCCATATGGAAAATTTTACAACCTCTTATGATGCCTTCACCAACAAGAGATGTTTAGGAAAGGAACGAGATCGAATTCAACAAGCTCTGGAACTTTCCAAATTGTATTACTGCAATTGATGGCAAGCATGTCATTAACTGATAAACCTCCAAACAGTGGTTCCTTATACTATAGTTATAAAAAAAAATTTTCAGTATTGTTTTATTGGCGTTTGTTGATGCACACTGTAGATTTAATGCCATTGATGTGGGAGCATATGGCAGAAATAGTTATGGAGTGATCGAAACTCCGCTATAGGCACTCATATAGCAGAGACAAAACATAAACTAACATTAGACGACACCCAATTACTATATCAAACAACCTCATATAATAATAATGAATTTATTGTCTAACAGCAAAACATGCCAATTCTAAGGCAATGTAGAGAAATTACAAACATATACATATAAGAAACTCAACATTCTTGAACAGTTCGCCATACACTCAGCCTTACAACAACCAAAAAACTTCCTACTAAACGACCTTAAAGAATTCCCGGAAAGACACCTGCACAAACTTCTCACACCCAGCCCTGCATTAATATAAGGGGCCACTATGGGCCCACAGCGGCAAAAATTTTAAGGCGGCAAATTTTCCTATAAATTGCTTTGCTTGAAAGTTTGAGACATTTTTTTTGACACAGACGCAGCCGCAGAGGCGGAGAGAATAACCGAGAACGTAAACTCGTTTAGTTTAGTATTGTACTATTGTCTTAAGAGTCTTCTTTACCTAACCGCAACTTTTTTACATTATAGTGTATAGATGATTATAGCTGCAAGAGATAAGATGATATTCTTGCTTTGTCAACTCCTGTCTTGGTCCTTAGTTAGTTCCCACCGACACTGTGCAGCGGCGCCACTTGTTACACTCAAATTGATGATTTACCGCCCGCCAAGATACAGACTTTATTTACAAAAATTATGATTTCATTTTTTGGGGTCATGTTTAGAAGTAACTTATCTAAAAAAACTGTCGGTTTACTTTTTCCATAAATCGTCTTGATCGAGAGTAAAAAAATAAAACAGATTAGCGCAATAATCGGTGCGAAACATCTAATTTTTAAACAATCTGTATTCAGTTGCTATAAACTTAAAAAAAAAAATAGTCCGAACATTTTGTAGATAAAGGTCTAAATTTATAAAATAGTTCTTAAAAAAAATTGTTTTTGTAAAAACAAATAGAGTTTTTATGGCGGGCGCTCTTATGGAAATTTACATTGGGTGCAGTGGGTACAGAAGACTCTTAACGGTGCGGTGGGTAAAAACGTGCGCGCCTGGCGATTTATTGTTTACAATTACACGATACCCAAACGTGACACGGGACACGAACACTGTAGTTACGATTCGTAAAATTGTGTTTTGCGGATTTGTTTTAGTGAGTTAGAGAAAGGTTTTGTTTTGTGCTTCATGACTAAGTAAACTGTTTCGAATGATCGTTTCCGTTTGTCTGCAATCATCCATGTAATTTGTACTCATAGGCTAATTATTTTATTGCCAGTGCGCAGTGTGGAATTTCTCTTTTATGTCAGTGTTTGTGCTTATACGGCCTAGGTACAATAAGATATGGATGGGCGTAAGAGATTTTTCCTCGTTTGCTCAATCATGAAGAAGATCATAACGGGTGTACAGTTAGATTCGCGGATATGAGACACAGAAATAAAGTTCAAGCATAAAGTGAGTTGGCAAAAAATCCAATGTCAAGGTGGTATGTTTAAATGTGCGCTTGTGGACACCAATACGCTAAGCAAAGGGCAAAAAAGGCAAAAGAACAAAATGATGTTATAAGCAGAACTGCTAAGATCTCTGCTAAGATAGACAACTTTTTTATACCTGCGGCTGCATCAAGCTTTCTTTCTACAACTACAAGTACCACTGATATTGACAATGAAGTCACAGCAGATACAGTTGCTTATAATTAGAGAGAGGAAGTTGTGGCATTTGCAATTTGTGTCTGGTTCCTTGTAAAGATTTTCTAATAACAGACTTTCACCAGACTCAATAAAAAGAAGGCATTAACCAAATTTTATTTTGCAATTTTCCATGTTATTGCAATTTTTATGCAATACTCCTTAATTTAGTGCAATTTTTCGCGAATTCAACGTTAGTCAGATGATATTAATGAATGAATAATGATCCTCACTTAAATATGTTTAGCTGGTTATGAATTGCGTCGGCTGAACGTAAAACACGTACGAGATAGCAGCACAAAAATAATCTCAGTAACTTGAAACCTAAGCAGGGAACATATTACAATAATTGCATTTTATATAGACTGCCAGTGCGAGTGAATACCTTATAAAAAGTGTAGGTGGTATTGTTAATCCTATATTTCTGTTAAAATGCCGAAAGTTGCTTCATCAATTTCCCAAAAATTGCAAGAGTAGATTGGTCCTTATAATAAAAACGCGGAAGTATTTACTTCAGATGGCAAAATTATATTTTGCAATGTCTGCTCTAAATCCGTAGGGACAGGAAAAAAATATTTTATAGACGCCCATGTTAAAACTGGTAAGTTTTAAACTGTATTTATTTCTCGTTCGTTGCTGATCTAGTGACATTTTATAGAAAGCCACATACGCGCATTGAGTAAAAATGTGAAAAGCAAACAAACTTTGCTGACCATACCTGCCTTGACTTCCAGTGATAAAAGAAATGAATTTTACGAGGATTTATGTGGTGCACTTTTGGGGTCCAATATACCTTTTTACAAAGTAAATGCGGAACCTTTCAAACAATTTCTGGAAAAGTACACAAGTCGTCACGTTCCAGATGAAAGTACTTTAAGGAAAACATACCTTCCAACAGTATTCCGGAAGAAAATGGAAAATATTAAAACTTCCGTTGGGAATAGCTGTGTGTACTTAATTGTAGACGAAACAACAGATTCCAGAGGCTAGTAGAATTTTCACAATATCTTTTTTTTCTGAAATTTCATTTTATAGGTTTCTACATTGCAAATTTGCTGGTTGGCGTGTTAGACACTGATGAACCCCAGAAACCATTTCTCATTGCTTGTAAACGTCTGCCAACAACTAATTTTGAAACAATATGTCAGTTTATAAACAAATCTCTTACTGCTTTCTCGTCTACCATTAATGGGCGCGTTTTACTTTTACTTACCGATGCAGCGCCTTATATGGTTAAAGCTGCAAAAACTGAAGGTTTTTTATCCAAATTTATTACATGTTACATGTCTAGCACATGGAATAAATAGGGTTGCAGAGGTTGCCAGAGAACTGTGCCCTGGAGTTAACAAATTGGTTAACAATGGTATTACTATATTTAAGTTTTAGTACTTGTTTGACCGTGGGATCTTTTAGGAAAGAAAGCGTTCCTTAAAGCACCTTCACGTGTGGCAATATACAAAGAAATTATGCCAGATTCGCCTCTTCCTCCGGAGCCAATAATTACTCGTTGGGGTACTTGGTTGGAAGCAGCGATATTTTACGCCAACAACTATGAAAAATTTGCTGCAGTTGTTAGGAGGTTAGAGGATGACGCAGAATCCGTAAAAAAATTAAAACTCTTAATAGAAGAACGAAGCGTACAGAATGAATTAATATTTATTAAAACACACTTGTGCTTTCTCCCTGAGTGTTTGAAGCAATTAGAAAATCAAGGAATGTCACTATATGACAGCATATCTATCGTGCAAGACGTAAAAT